CCTTAATATGAAATATCCTATTTGCATCTTTCTGGAAGTTCCAACTAGTAGGGTTTTTTTTTTTTAAGAAAAAAAAGTTTTATTTACTTCGTTTCCTCCCAAATTCACTGTTTATAAGTAGCAATTAATTCAAATATGTTTTATGCTTCTCGTTTTATTTCTTTTTATATACTTTAGTTTTATTGAAATAAATATTGTGTATATGATGTATTATCATGCATGTGCATTATTATTTTCACACTTTGAATTTATTTTGACTTATTTACACTTTGTTTTAATTGATACTTTAATCTACCACGTTACTTAACTTTATAAGACAGAATTCTTATTCACTTATTACATAAACTGTATGGAGTTTAATAAATGGCGATAGTCCCCCCCCCCCCCCCCCCCGGTTCAAAGAAAATTAAACTTCCTAATGATATAAGTTGCTAGGGAAATACCATTGTTGGAAACAATGAATTGTACCTTATTTGAAAATTAAAAAAAAAATTCCTAACACCCTCTTTCAAAGGGAAAAACTTTGGTTTGCAAGGGGTAAAGCTTGGTGTTTCGACTTACTAATAAAGAAATCATTTTTTTAATAGAAAAATATAAGACCGCTGAACATTAACTGGCAAAATTGGAAATATGCAGCTTACGTAATTTCCATCTGTTACAGTCAAAACATTTAGTGATAGACAATGAAATGGACGGGTTCAATTCGACACGGACGTCCGAGAAAACATTGGATTGAAATTCGAGTTTGAAATTCATTTTTAATCCACCTCAGCTACGCTATAACACAATTACTCAATGTGTTTGGATTAAGAAGACTTTTGTAAGTTTATAGTTTTATTATAAAATCACAGCAAAGGCAAAACAATTGTACATTAAAAAAGTTCAATGACTGCAGGTGTCGGAGCCAAGACGGTGAAAACTCACATATTCAGTCTAGGAGCTAAGATGGTAAAAAGCTCTCGTAGGCAGTCTTAGAGCTAAGATGTTAAAAGCTATTGATACTCAGCGCGCACATCTTTTGTACAAGAAGCTGCATCATAAGGATCACATATTTGGTAACAACAATTAGTTAGAGTGACACTTCATTAATATTGGTATAGTCCGCCCCTCACTGAAGAACTGTCTCTCATCTCCTTATAGGATACGGCAATGTCCTCTGTTTACATTAACATTGTGTATCTTGCACATTCTTCAGTTTATTAGATGGTTGCAGCTTTGCACAAAGTCTGATTGGAAGTGTCAATGTAAGAGAACACCACATCGTAAAAACTAATTGTCCGTCAAATGAAGACGCTCACTTATTGTATCCAATCTCCCAGAGTTTGTAACCAAGTTCATAATTAAGAGGTTATTGTCCGTCGCTCTACACACTGATAGTATCAATTATAATTCAAAACACAATATTTAAAATATTAATAAACGCTATGTACAAGATTAATATATCAATTAAAATTATAATTTGTACGCTCATTGTGTTACAACGCTAGAACGCACGGCGTTACTGATTGACCCAGAAGACAAATAATTTGAAATTTATATAAATCAGCATTTTCTACCTATGTTTTTAAAGAAATATAAACGGACAAATATGTGGTTTCTGTTTGGTATGTGTATGTGTGTGCTGGGGGGTGGGGTGGAGGGGGCTGAACAATCTTGGAAATGAATAAGAAAGTTTTCTTTTAGTTTTGACAACCCCTCCCTGTTTTGTTTGTCTAAAATTTTTCAGACAAAAAAAAAGCTAAAAAAAAAAAGCCCTTGTTATCCTAGACATTAATATATTCTTCATGTGAAGGCATTATCTGACTCGACATTTTTTGACAGCCCCCCCCCCCTTCTTCTAGATTTAAATGGCTGTTCCCTGAAAAAATAATCTCTGTCTTCTATGACTTTGATGTGTCCTTTAAATTATAGGCTAAATTAACTCATATAAATAAGAATTTCAAACAACATGTATTTGGAAATTGAATTTATTTGTCTTTTGGATCATACATTCACACTTAAGGTTTGAAAACAGCTCAGGTGGATTGAAATTGAATTTCAATTTTTTTTTTCACTGAAGAAGATAATAAATAATGTTTTTTGTTATCTTACAAATAATAAATATATTCTTTTATGTGAGGCATAACCATAAATAATCTGATTCAAAAAAAATTGCCAGCCCCCCCCCCCCCCTTCTAGAATCAAATGGCTGTCCCCTAAAAAAATATAGCTACTAGATATAACTGTTGTGTTGTCCTCAAAATATTAGATAGAAAATTGTTGTTCATTAATTTCAAACTATACGTATTTGGGAACTGAAATTACTTGTCGTTTGGATCGTACACTATCAATTTGCCAAAAATAGCTCAGGTGGATTGAAAATGAATTTCGAATTGCAATTTCAATAAAATGTTTGCGCAGACGTCCGTGTCAAATTGTACCCGCCCATTTCATTGAATATCAATAATTGTTTAACTGCGACAGATGGAAATGACGTAAGCTGCATATTTCCAATTTTGCCAGTTAATGTTCCGCGGTCTTAGTTTACCGTAGTTAAAAAGAGTTTATAAAACAATTTTATTACACAATAGTATGTTACTGTATGTAAAAAAAAAAAAAAAAAAAGAAAAGAAACACGCTTCCTGTATTGACAGTATTGGCATGCTTGGCCTCTATTATTATTGGCTAATTAATGAACACATTTAATTAGTGATTCTTACAATTCTTCGGTGGAATTTGCGATTAAATACTATTCTACGTTAAGGGACGTTTATTGTCTGCCTGCTTGAATGTGATGGTTCCAATTTCATATTGAAATAAGTGTATGTTTCATGCTGTCATTTAGTTGAATCGTTGGAATAACATTTGATAATAATTGTAATGACAAGGTAATGATCGATCTCAAAAAAAAATTGCAAACAATACAAATTGAGGACAGTATATAAAACACAGAACTCTGGGAATTCCAGAGGTGGGATCAGGTGCCTTACAGTAGTAAGCATCCCCGTTAACCGGCCACACAATTTGTCTGAACACAACAGCCAAAATACGACTCAGTGATATTTTAAATAATACAAAAGTTCACATACTTAACAATATTCGTAAAACTGTTTTAATAATCAAGAAAACATAACAACATAGAAATATTCATGAACCTTATTTTTATATACATTTTTAAACCACAACACATCCATTAGAAAACATTGATATATAGTCGGACCGTCTCCTCCATTCTCGGTTTTTTTTTTTTTTTTTTTTAATGAATCAATTGGCATATTGTGACTTTTTTGTCTGTCAATCACGCTAGAAAATAGATTTATATTTTTCAGGTTACATGTTCTGGTGTAAACATTACAGCCAAGTAAAATAAAAGTAACAAAAAAAATAAGTACGTCTTCAAGGCCATGAAGTGAAAATTCATCTGACGGTACATATTGTCGTTCAGTACATGTTTTTTCGGCGACAATATGTGCCTACCCTCTCTGCACATATTGTCGTCTAACGGTACATACATATTGTCGCCGACTGCAATATATGCCGAAACGACCTTGCTTTCCTTTAGCAAAATGGACAATAAAATGTAAGTCATGCATCGGCACTTATTATCGTCGGAGACAACGAGTGCAGTGAGCGTAACTACATATTGTCGCCGATACATTGTTTTGACTAATATCTATTTGGGTCCTGAAGAGAGAGAGAGAGAGAGATTGACAGACACATGACATAGAGTGAGACAGATAGACAGAGAGCATTGTACGGTACTATATGTAGAAAACTTGTTTGATCAGAAAAGGTATTCTTTTTCTCATTATATATATATATATACCGATGGACGAAAATATGTGCAGTGAGGGTACATGTAGGTACATACATGTATTGTCGTTGGTGACAATATGTACAGAACGAATTTGTATCGTAACAAGTCAAAACACTTTCGAGTGTTGAGATTTTGACAAAAGACAATGCACATGATAATAAAGGAAAGCCTTTTTCAGATAAAAAAAAAAAAAAGCTACAGCCAAAGTTTAATATTTGAAAAATATTTCAAACTTCAAGGTCAAGATCAAACACAATAAAGCGTAAGAAGGGTATTTTCCGTGGAATTGCACACAAGAAAAATGCATTTTTGAAATGTGATTGGGAGGCCCGGTTCGAGTTTTGTTCGCTGTGCCGCGTCAGTCATAAGACGTACATATAGTTAATGACTATTCCTTCGCTAAGCACCCGGCACTAAAAGTGAAAGTCACTGACAGGTTTTTATGACGAGACCTTATAAACCGAGGTCCCATATCAAGGTAGGCGTAGGCATGATAAAGAACCACCACTGCCAAATGATACTATGTGCCTAGTACATCTGTATATATATATATATATATATATATATATATATATATATATATATATATATATATATATATATATATATATATATATATACGTTCTATGTCCTCCGCGGGTATATGGTGATGTCTCTACACAAAAGAGAAAAAAAATCTAATTGGGTAACATCTTTAAAAAAAAGTAATGAATCAAACAAAAGTTATTTCGAAGGTGTAAATTATTAAAAAGTAGCTTAAACTCCAATTTCAAGGTCAATATGCGAAAGCAAAGTTGCATTCTGAAATTTCTTTTCACAAGTAAATTACAAGCACTACCTTTTCTCATTTACAAGTTATGAGAACTGATCAAATTTCAGTGACGGTCAGACGAACAGACAGACGGGAAGACAGACCTTCATACGATTTAATGTACCAGCGCTTTCAAGAAAGTGCTGTGGGGGTGGACGGTGGAGTAATTATACTATCCTTCTTCCCACAATACTAATAAAATAATTGATTATACGAAAAACTTCAAGATATTTTTTTTTTGTAAATTTGCATTTCTTTTTGGAAAACATTGAAAGCTGTTATAACATTTAATGTTTTATATTGTAGTATTTGTTTTCCTCCAAATATATATGTATATATGATCATAATATAATCTTGATAAATGGAAAGAATATCATTATGATCATTCGTCATTTATGAATCAGTTTGAATATCACAGTTTTAAACTATATAATTAGCTTTATACATAATTCTATACATTCTATTATGTATCTCAGTCTGAATTGGAAGACAACATGGGTTGCGTCAGCCTCCTTTGTCTAATTTTTCCAAAGCGACCTCTCATTCTATCCATAAATTCTTCCTCTGTTCCTTTTTGACGTCTCCCTGTTGATAAAGTCAATCATACTTTGTATGTTAATGGTAAATGAAAATATTCAACATATCTATTTCCTTAAGCATTATCAATACTTGTATACCATAACTGTAACAATCTCGGCATGATTTCATCATTTGCCAACTTTTTTTTTTAAATCATTAATCTAAGAAGAGTGGTTATATCTTGAAATGTACTATTTTGACGTCCGAGAAGTGTTGAGAATTGGCGATAGTCAATGTTGCCAAAACATTTTTCGTTTAATTCCTGACTTGTTAAATTTTACATAATAAATGTATTGTAGGAAAAAAGATAAGTAAAAAATAAGTATATTTTCTTTGAAAAATTGGTTAAAAGTTGTGTTTTTTTTTCAGATACTATGGAGAAAACTAACGAATCCATCTTGTATAGAGATATGTCTTTATTTGATGAAAACTAAAAAGCAGTAAAAACAGAAATTAAGAGATGGTTTAATTTCAATATTTGCGTCTTGTTTCATGCACTTTTATGGAGCCTGTAAATCAAATCTTGCAAGTAACTGATAAAAAGGACACAAATGCATTCTTATTTTTTTTCTATTGCTGTTTGCCAAAGAAAAATGATAATCAGAATATACATACCTATGAGAGATAGATTTTCGATTTGCTTCTCAAAATTTTCCTCAATTTCCTCTTCCGGAATTGACTGATCTTTGTTTAGTGGAGTCTCGTCCTTTTTAAGAAAAGGGTTAGGGATCTCTGTTATTGCCACTAAATGAAGAAATGTTCCCCATCTAAAATTGTTTAATAAAAAAAATATGAACCATTTAGCAATGTTTCAAACATATACTCATGAAATCCGTCACGTTTATCTTTGTAGCAAAGAAATAAACTTCTATATACATTTATCTTACTCAATTTCATAAATTTAATACAAATATTATATATGATTGAAACAAAGTGAAATTTGCCCTTAATACTGCAAACAAATTTCAAGAAAAAAAAATACAAAAATGAGACTCATATTACGTAAATAACAAAGAATGCTTTTTTTCGTTATTTTAGTCACACGTGTTTAAACAATGTACACATTTCAAACAGGGAAAGGCTACGTAAATTATTTTTATATTTCAAAAATAAACAAAAAGCAAATAATTAAAAAACAATAATTCATATTTTTAATGCTGTCTAGATCTAGTCCGTTTTATAATTAATATCCAGACTTTATTCTGTCAAATTTAAAACAGGAGGGCCTTGGGCCACATCCCTCACCTCAGAACTTCGGCTAAGAGAAAGCAGAAATCAGTTCGGTATTTTAAAGAAAAATATAAATATATAAGTGGTTAAATCTACAGGTACCTCCCCCATCGACCTCCGGCCAGAGAGATGGGGCACATGATTTGAAAAAAAAAAGCCTTTAATCTACAATTACTTTGGATGCTCCCATATCTTTGACTTATCATGACTTTTGAATTTAAGATTTTGGCCTACATATTTTATCATCTATTGAGGCCACACCTTATCCGGAGAATGATTTAAAAATACTTGAATCAACACTACCAAGAGATGCTTCTGTATTTATATGACAAATCATGGTTTTCCAGTTCTTGAAAAGAAAAAAGAGAATTTTACAAATGTTCCTATGTATTATGTAAAATTTTTGTCACCCATTGTGGCCCCACCCCATATCCGGAGGCCATGATTTAAGCAGACCTGAATTTCCACTGCCTAAGGATGCTTCCGTATAATTATGACCAATCATGACTATCCTGTTCCTTAGAAAAAAAAATTCTGAAGATTTTTCCTATGTAATCCTATGCAAAACTTGATCACCTTTTGTGGCCCAACTTTACCCCCCCCCCCCCCCGGGGTCATGATTTGAATAAAGATGAATTCAAACTATCTTTGGATACTTCCAGATGTTTATGACCAATCATGCTTGGTTTTTCTATTCTTAAAGGAAGATTTCTAAAGATTTTCCATACATACATACATACATACATACACAAACACACACACACACACACACACACACACACATATATATATATATATATATATATATATATATATATATATATATATATATATATTTGTGTGTGTGTGTGTGTATTCCTCTCTTCCAATTTGTCCCCATCCTCATCCGGTTGGTGGGGTGTGATGGGACGGTGATAATTTGTAATTTGTACAGAAATCTATACCACCTATGGGTGTTTCCACATTAGTGTCTTCTTTTCTGGCCTAGTGCTTCTTGCGAAGAATATTTTATTACAGATGTCATTATCTTTTTCACTTATTAGTAATTATTTATCTCCCCTTTGAAGAAGGCTTGGTCCTTCATTTAAAAACACACACAAAACAAAACCAAAAAGAAACTTCAATTCCGTTTATCCAAAGTTTGGTTGATATTGGTCTAATGACTCTTGAGAAAAAAGGCAACAACGTGAAAGTGAGAATGTGAAAATGGACAGCTAGACAGACAGACATACAGTTGGACGCCGAGAAAAATGTAGTCAGAAAGCCTCATTTGAACTTTCGGCAGGTGAATGAAAAGAAAAAAAAACCTTTAAAGCGAATGTACATTGATTGAGAATAATTGCATTTATTATAAATATTTTCAATGTAACTTTGTTTTCGTAAAGATTTCAAGCATGATCGCTGTGTAAAAGAAATAATATCAAGAAATAATTCAGTGCATTAAATAGAGTACCAACAAACCGCAAACTTGTACCTACATGCAACTGCGCTTCTCAAACCCATACAACTATGCTTATATGCATGACCACACACACACACACAATTGTACCAACCTATGCATCACCATACCACAAAACTGGAGGACGAGAATCAGAGTAAAGAAAATGATAAACAGCAATCCCAGGACATCTATGTCTATTTTGTCTCCATTTTCCTGCAATTGCAGCGTTGAAATAAAATAAATCCATTGTAAATCTGTTTATTTACATTAAAAGATTTATACCAGAAACATAATCCCTTATCTCCCTCACAGAAGAAGCATAAAAATCTATTTTTTTGTATTTCTTCCTAATAGTCCATGAGCCACTGGGGGTGGTCGGTACCATTTTGAGTGAATAAACCTTATAGTGATATTTGGTAAGGTATACCCCTAAGTATTTAGGAACTGTATGATAGCATCAAATCCGTCGTGGTTTCCATGCTGGAGACAGAGTTATTGCCCTTGATTTGTTCAAATTTGGTATTTTGATCTGAATACATTTGCTACCTCGAAAGTATTTGTCACACAGTTGCCAACCGTGATAGAAAGTTTGACTAGAATGTGCAATTAGTTATAGATATGAGAATGACCATATTAAAAGAGCATAAACTGACTTAAAGGCCCTGATTCTAACAAAAATTGCATTTTTTTTTCACTTTTGTTCAACTATTACCTCGTAAATCTTCATAAAGTAGAACCAGTTAAATACCAGTATTCATATATATAATGAGGCAAATGTTTATGCACATGTGTTGCTCAATTTTTGATGTCCAAAATGTAAAATAAATTATCGTCCTTACTTAGAAAAACATAAAAGTGGCCATTAGCATCATGGTTTACTTTGAAATTATATAAATAAAGCATTTTGGATGAAGGCTCTACTGGAGACCTGAATTGACATTTTCACAATATCATCATCATCATTACCAATCATTTTCATTATCATTGTCTTCTGTGTTTTCATCCTCATTTAGTTCATTGTCTGATTCGTGAAGTGATTTTCGATTTTCACATTCAGCAAGTTTACATATATCAGTGCAATTAAGTCCATTTATCATACACACACATTTCGGCAAAGTACATCTTTCTTATACAATTGCAGGCTAACAAATCAAGCACTGTCTCAGGAGCTGGCTGAAGGTCTATCCAGTGTATAACTAATTGCTGTACACCCTCTTCCTTTTCCATCTTCCAACCTCTCCTAACTGGAACAGGTACCTCAGGATCCTGCCAAAGACACCTTTGCCATATTGCTGCCTGGTAATTTGCTCTCAGGCAATGCTTCTTCAAACAGTCTAAGCAAGGTGGAAGCTGGTGGCTCTCTATCTCGCCCTTTTTAGCACAGAATAGGTTGTATCTTAATTAGGTCATTAACTTTTCTGGATGATGCCTTTGGAGCATAAAGACGGCAAGTAAATGCTCCTAACTTGGTCATTAAATCTTCACAGAGAGTTCCCATTCCTTCCCTAGCTCTTGGAACATTTCTTGTATATCTTTGCTACCGGTCATAAGTTTCAGTGCACTTGCTTTTCCTTTCCAAGCAAATGCACTTACAGTATCGCACCCAGTGAAGGAGTGCAACCCAACAAGTTCAGTTCCGATGCTGGTGGCAACTTTGTTTATGTCAACTAGTCTAGTCCAAGTTTTACTCCCACATTTCAAGAACATCGGAACTCCAACCTTGTCACTGAAAGCCAATGCCATGATGAAAACATCAGCGTCCTCTGAGCAAATTTGTATGGCACTATAGCCCTGTCTTGCTGCATGAAGAAGTAGGCGTCCATCTGCCTCTTCTTGCAGGCTCTGGAGATCTGCTATCTCCTCGTGGGCTGGAGATGTTATTCTGTAACATTTTTCTATCACGTCTGCATAGAGAACCTTTCCATGCAGCCTTTCTGTAAATTCTGGCTTCATCCATTCGTTCACCAAAATCTTAATGATGCTGTTTTTGTTGTTAATCGTGCTCAGGAAACTCCTCCACTGCCTGACTATTTGAGTGCTGGTAATATTCTGAAGTTGATGACTATTTACTCCTCCTCGAAGTGATCTCTCGCTGTTCTTGATTGAGTTCTCTATATAAGTGTTTAATAATACATCTATCCTATCACTGTTCACCCCGGCCCTTAGTACCATTGAAAACACTGTGTTTGCAATATCTCCAAATGTAATTTGATTACCTTTCATCTTCTGAACTAAACTCATCCCGTCAATCACTGATGCAGAGTTCTCTGGCAGTTCAGCTACTGACACATTTTTTTGTAACGCTGCTGTTATTATTTGTCTTTCGCAGCATCCCATCTGGTGTGGATAGAGCCCACGGTAACGGTCCTAGTGGATACGGAAGAATATTTTCCATCTGCAAATTACGACCTTGTGCCATCACTATTATGCGACCAAACAAGGTTCTGTCAGCTTTTAAAATTGCTACGCGTCCACTTGATTTCACTTCCCGCTTTTGGCTCACATTGCTGAATGTCTTAAGTCTTTGAGCCTTAATCGGGTCATGGAACTTTATATCCGGTGAATCTGCCTCCAGTCTTTCATTTCTGAAGGTTATGTAAGCTTCTTCACCAATCTGATATGCATTCAACAAGTCCGCTGTTATTTCTCTTGGTGCAACCCTGGCAGTTGATATGCTAACAAGATCCTGCTTCTCTGCAAAAGGGTTGACCCATTCCTTTATCAAATCGACAATTGCTGACACAGTCTGTTCGTCCCTCTGAAATCTTGGACGTTGTAATTCTGTATGAGATACTACTGATGATTTTTTTTCCAACCATGTGCCTTAGAAGTCCTAAAAAGGAACTTCGATACTCTGCAGTTATATAGTAGCGATTAATAGCTGCTGCTTTTAAACTGAATCGAGCTGTTCCACCAGGTGTCTGTGTGTCCTTATTTACGGTGATCTCAGTGGTTTGATCCACAGGAATTCGTCCAAAAGAGTTTTTGCCAGAAATTTGCATTGTAAATTGTCTACTTTGGAAGGCTTCATACACACAGTGATGACATTCCTTTAGATTTGTCATCTGAGAAAAATATGGGGAAAGATATAACTCAGTTTATCGTATGCAAAACACCGTGGGATAAGTTTGCATACAGATGCATAAGATGTTCGAGAAATTCTTGCCACAAAAGTACAAGGCCCTGGAAGAATTGACTTTGCAGCAAAACATTGTAATTTTGTTGGTTGATGTCACTGGCCATGTCATTCACTTGATCCAGGAATGTTCTTCTGTCAGCAGTCTTGTCTGGATAATTTTCCTCCACCCAAGGTATGGACTCGGACCAAGCCAATCTCAGGAGCGCCTCATAGATACACTTGTGTACCCTAACAGCACGGTTGTAATGTTTACCATCAAGAACACCATTTATGAACCCCTCAGCAACTACCCCGTACTCTATGCATATATCCTTTAAACCGGCATCTCTAAATCGCTTTCCAAGAATAGATAACGCGTTACAAATAGAATGGAATGTTCCCATCCTAAGCAAAAAGAGTGAAAAGCGCTCTTTGTGTTTCCAAACTATTTCGGAAGTTTTGGCATAAAGTGCTTGATCCATTACCACAATTATTGTTTCCAGATGTAGTTCTAGTCTAATCAGTTCTGACTGATTCAAAATCTCAAATACTGTAGACAAATCAGTTGCAGGGGCATTGATTGTAGGTAAGTATCCAACAATATCATCCGAGTTGACTTCTTGATCTCTTATGCAGATGTGAAACACAGTCCAACTTGGTACTGACTGATTGTCTGAGTCAGAGAGTCTTGCAAGCATCCATAGTAAGTTTGTCTTACGGGTTATTTGGCAAGCCTGCTTTGTTTCTGGGTTATCCTCTGCTGTTGAAAGTGGTTGTGGACCCAGTCGTGTACCAGCTACCTAGACTTCCAGTTCCTGATCTCCAACAGTCACAGATCTCTGTTTTTGCTTCTCAATATGCGGCAGTTCAACTGGTTGTGGAAGTGGACCATAAATAGTAGGCTGTATTGCTATTCCACTGACACGATGAGAAGTGCCCTTTCCAGTTAGAGTTTCTTCCAGTCTATCTATGTTGTTCCATGCCAAATTTGTGAATACATAGAGTTTTATGGAGGCTGGTATGACAACCCTGCGGTTCAAGCCAGCTGCCAACTTCTGAAGACAAAGTGCTGTCTCATTTTCTTCCAGCTGTGAGTAAGATATACCGTGTCCAAGTTTATTTAATATCCGAATGAGCTCAACATTTCCTGTGAGTGTTTTCACTACGTTTGGTAGGAGAAGGTGTTTTGGCGGCTTGTATTGGCCACATGATACTGCATAAATGATATTTTGGCTGAACGACTGGACAAGAGTATTACTTCTTTCTGTTTGATGATTACTGTCAGGGTCTCCAGCTAAAACTCCACAAAGAAATCTCTCCAGTGTATTCGGAATGGCAACATGAGCACTTTTCATACCTGCTTGGTGCAATTGCCAAGGTGTTGATTGCATTTCTTGCCTTATGATCGATCTGATATGGGAAGATTCCTTATCTATTGTTCTATTGATGTCAGTAGATTTTGCTTTCCAAATCGTCAGCTCTCGATGAAGAATTTGATTTTCTACAACAACATCCCTCAATAAAACACTATCAGGAACCATGAGAAGCTTTCCTTTGTTGTCTGGGAAGATATCAACCGATTCGCCAAGCTCTGTCTCCAGTTTCCTTCGAATGTGTTTCCTTGTTGTGTCTTGCATATGCTTAACTCCTAGGGACAGCATAATAGATTCTAGCTTTTGTGTCAAAAATGCTACGGGTACAATATTTTTGCTATTAAGAACATCACTTCTGATAAATTCAGAAAGTTCCTCATATGCCTCCCTTAAGATCTTTTGATATTGTTCATCACCATCAGATTCAGTGTTTGTTCCATCTATACCTTTTAGTTCAAATTTCTTGACCTTGGTGTACTTCTTGTAGCTAGAAATATGATAATGAGCTTCAGCAGCAACGATATCCCTACTTGTAACTGCAAGGATTTTGTCATCACCTCTCTGAATAGCACATTCTCTTAATGTTTTGTCTGCTCTTAGCTGTACTGCTTGGACAAGTTTTTCTCGTGATCGCGTGTTCTTTACCCTTTTCTCTTGGCCACAAAAATACATTTCTGTTCATACACCCTTGCCTCTATGGATGATTTTCTGCTTGGTCTTTTTGATGTTCTTCCTGTAATGTAATGAGAAAACTTGCCGAAAATAAAATTTACTATGTATCTACAAAGCGAAATTCTGAAAGGGAAAATGAGAATAAATTAGACCATTAAGCATTCAATGCAATATGTTATGTCGACTAAGTGCATGCATTCATAAACTTTTTTCCTCCTTTCTACCGCTGCTGCCTGCCTCGTCAGATGGGCTTTCTGCTGCTTTCCTTTTCAAAGTTTCCAAATCTCTCTTCATAGTGAAGATGCTTCGGCATTTCCGGTGGTAGTAGATTTTAGGGATTTCGTCTTCTTCGAGTTTTTCTGAAAGTTTTAAACTGGTTCATGATTTCTAATTTTAGCTGCTTCTAATAATGTAAGCCAAGATTCAAAGTTGACAGGACTTATTAAGTGTTCATCATCATCTATTGATTTGTTCATGTGTATAATGCATTTGGGCTTGTCCTCTGCCATGTTGTTTCTTCCATCAAACCTGTGACAAAAGCATATTTGATTTGTGACACATGAAATACAGAGATTATCAGGATACTCTTTTAGAAAAACGTTGTTACCTTTTGACCTCGACCTTATGACATATTGTCGTGATGGGTCTGTTTCACATATTCTTTTCATAAATACCCCTAGAAATATTTTTTATTCAAATGTTGTAATAATATAATATATCTATGTTACATGTAAGTAAAGAATATGCGCACAGAATAAATCAAGGGAAATTTTCGTCAATTTTCATTTTTAGGGTAGGGATAAAGATTTACTATGAAATCAAGTGATATATATTTGTTACTGAAAATATGTTTTGAATTGCCAATTAGTGAATAAAATTCCTTAAATAAAATGACCGTGCAATATGTTTTGATGTGAAAATTGTCACAGAAGTAATTTTTTTCAGCTTATTATAATTCCAAAACTGCATGTTCCACTTTATGATCATGGGTAAGACTATATACCTACATATTTATGAGGGCTCATTACAGAGCCAATATTGAATAATTATTGAAAAGGTTAATAGCATGGTCTGCATCTGAAAGAATTTCCAAGAAAATATCAATCGAAATAAGATAGAAATTGCGCATTTAATAAACCCACCTTCTCCTTTCATAGACACAGTTGAGAGAACGAACATATTGGGTGTATATAAACGGTTGATTCACTATTAAAGCCACAATCAATTGAATGCTATCATACATTTTCTAAAGGTAGAGATACATGTCCTTCAAAATATGACTATGAAAATTATTCACCAAAGATGGTACCTATACCGAAAAATTCATGGCCTGGCTCAGGGACTATAAAGAACCTTGATTTGAAAAAAAAGTATAATTAAAGAGTTGAAAAGTAATTTGCAATAATTTTGCAATCTGTTTGGACATAATTTGTAGCTCGTTTTTATGATGCCTGTCTGCTTTTATACTTCAAGAATATAAATGATAATGTACAGAACGAAACTTACTGTTTCTATTGTATTTTGAAAGATAACAGCTCAATCAAACATAAAATGTACTCACAAGCGTTGTTAAAGTGACAATTGTTGGTCTCCTCAATTGAAACATAAAATTTATGGAAACCCAGATTAAATTCAGAACAGCCATCCCAGCGCAGACATTGTTTCTTAATTCCTTTAACTTTTCTCTGTCTTCTTTTTCTTTTGCTTCGTCTCTTTGAGGGGGTTTAAGATACCTTTATAAAGGATAGTGTACTAGTGCATACATTAAGATATCTTCCAAAAACAGCGATGTTGGCGTATACTTCATAAACAGTAATGCACACAAATAAATACTGAGAGAATAATTCATGATTTCAAAGATTAACATAACAATTATATATTTTTCATTTGTTTCTAGGATATTGTACTAATCTTCACATTTTATCACTACAAGACTTTGGAACACTGAGGTTTTAGCAATTACACAAATATTTAACTGACTTACTTGTCAATGAATCTTTTCCAGAATTCCTCTTCTTTTCCAGTCATCTCTACACGTTTCCCTTTAAATGTACCTGTGCTAATCCATTCTGGTTCTGATACAATATCACTCTGTGGAGTTCTTTTTAGTTCAATACTATTCTAAATTTAATAATGATAATTATCAGCATCTATCAGAGTTTTTTTTACGTCATCAATTGAAAAAAAGAACTCGTCAAAAAATCTGTGATCCTTCAAAATGGTGAATAACAGGACCAATTTCTTATTTGAAATATTTTTTTTGTATCTGAAAGAAAAGAATCACGTACTTGTTTTGTTTCTTGGGTATTCCTTTTTGTTTCTGTGCAAACAATAACTTCTTTTAGCTCACCTCCGGATGCTTTGTCTAAGGTATCATTCTTTTCTTTCATTATTTCTCTAACCAGTAATTTAACATCATCCTCAGACATAATTTGCTTTGAAGGAGTATCTGTAATCTTCCGAAACGGTGAGAGTATCATAGAAAATATATTTTTCTTTTCTTTTGCTTTGGTATTTGCTTTCCCACTTTCTCTTGTTCCCCAAGAAACATCATTTAAATTGCATAATGAATAAATTATCAAAACAAGAAAGCCGCATGGTACCAAAACGAAATATAGTAACCCAAACAGAAGATTGTCCCACTCTCTAGGATGAAATAAAGCAGCTATCACAAAAATAGCTATGATTCCACAAAGAAATACCACACTAGGATGAAATGGCGATTCGGTGACAGCGGTAATGATAACACCAACAAGGACAACGATCATGATTATAACGTATATTCCACTCAGAATCTGTGCTACCAGAAGCTGGATGTTTGAGTTACAAGTCACGCAAATTATGAAATACAGGATCACAGGAGCAAGAGATGCAAGGTATGATGTAAGCAGATCAACGTTGAATACTGCTACAAAAGCTCCAGCAATCATCATCAAAATTGTGGCTGGTCCTATTATAGTTGCAACCATCAGTGACCCTGCGGTTGGGGAAAATGTTGTGAATACAAATTACAAATATCACTTCTTCATGAAAAAGATTAAAGACTATAAGATTTATGTACGTTTCATATTAAAAATGCTTCCAGAGGTTAACATATACATACTCTCTCTCTCTCTCTCTCTCTCTCTCTCTCTCTCTCTCTCTCTCTCTCTCTCATCCTTTGAGTTCCAATCAAATTAGGTAAACAAACCTTGATACAAAATGTACAGCCAGCTTATATTTGCATTAGCCTGAACTGTATTTCTACAATCTTGCAGAAGAGACATAATGTTTGCAAGAGTTGAAGGACCCCATCTTTTTCTTTGCTTGAAATATTCATTAAATCCCTCTGGTGCGTATGTAAAAGCATCTGCTCCCGCTGCATAATCAACTCTGTAGCCTTGTTGTAAAAGTAAAGTACACAGCCATCTGTCCTCTCCTGGTTTTAAAAAAAATCTTGTCGTTTATTGTAAGCAATATCTTTTTTTCACCAAGTTCAAGAAAAGGAACAGAAAATATTTTTAGATAGGAGCAACAAACCTTATCTTATCCAAATTACATGGGATTGCTTTAGACCCATCTTGTTTTTGTTCTTGATCAAAAAAAACTAAATGGCACACAAATTGAAGAAAAACTGCAAGTCTACTCGCTCTTGTCTTTTATTAACAAGTACTTTCTTTTTGTTTTACATTCATGTCAAATAACAAGCAATATATTTCGAATAATACTTTAGTGCTTAGTTTAAAAATAATTTCTTCCAGATAATGTTATTTTAATACTAAATGTTCTTCACTAGAAAAACCAAAGGTATATTTTCAGTACTTTTATTCAGAAGACAAACGAATGAAATGAGAAATCAGTTTCTGGGTGATATATTTGTTAAGAACAGTACAACTACAACTGCAAATATAAGTCCTACCCTGATCATACATGAGATGATGTGATGCTTCTGTTGGTAGTTGTGTATATTTTTTCATCACATTATCATCCATTAAGGCGAAACCTCTGAACAGGCTGAAACATCCAGGAGAACACAGTACACATCCTAATACGTGTTCCGTCGCCTTTTGAAGCCAATGAGCAACTGCATACTCGAATTTTTGATACCAAACAATCGGACCTGAAATTGATACCAATTGTGATTTACTTGCTACTGAAGGGCATTTCACTCAACAAAGGTGAAACTGTGTTGGTGAAATTGTCACTGGTAATTTAGAAAATGGAAATGGAAGTAAAAGATTAACAGAAGCCATTCAAAATAGAAAATGACAATTCTGACTAGTCGCATTAAAAAAAAGATTTTTTTTATTTGAAATGATGTAGAGAGTCCTAATCTGATGCAACAAAAAATAAATAAATATAGTTAGATTGCATTTTCTACTCAACGTATAAATTTTCATAATGAATTAGAATATTAATGATGAATACCACTTCCGATTGGGTGAATACGGCCACATGTAGCTCCAACTCTTTCGTCCTTTCTCATTCTGTCAACAAGAATCCTCAGCGACCCTGGTGAAAAATCTACATCTCCATCCAAAGCAAGGAGAAATGTGTTGTTTGCCTACGTTAAGGTAGTCAGTTGTTTGATAATGTTATTGTACTTTTATTTAAATTTGCCTGCTTTTATAGATCCACGTAATTCAAAACTTTAATGTCAAGCCATTAAAGATTAACCTAGACAAATAAATTCATATGAAAATATTCTACTATAAATGAGTATAAAATAAGATCTTGCAGCATATTTTAGATACGTTATAGATTAGATAAAGAAAAAAAATCTACCCTCGGTTTTAGAAGTTCGTCAAATGTTTCTGTTCTTCTTTTCAGGGATTGCACTTCGATAGTTAAGCGATAACCGAGCAAATAATACATGTACATTACCTGGAAGTTTGAATATTTGTTTACTTGATATATTAAATCATTGTAAATAATCTCGCTTAAGGAAAAAAAATATGATACATGAATATAAAAAGGCTATTTACTCTATATCTTTTTATGTATCATACGTATGTGCTTGAATATATTTATTTATTGCAATATTTTATCCATACAATCTGAACGTGTAATTTGGTAGCACATTGTATCAACTTTACCTGTGACCATCTCTTCTTGTTTCGTATCTTAGTTTTATCTTTCAGATGAATAAACATAAGGTTTTTCCCAGGCATTCTATAAACGATTTGCGCTCCATAAACTGTACAAATAATCAATGGCTTTTCCAGTTTAGTCGCCTTTGCGTGGACTGCACTGTATAAGAAAACTCATACATGTAAGTGAATTGTAAAAAGAAATAAAAAGAAGAAAGGCACAGTTAATGCCAATGTGATGGTACATATTGTTCTGTACATACTGTCGTCGGCAACAATATGTACCTTCCCTCACTGCACACATTGTCGCTCATCTGTACATATTCTCTTTTTCACCTCACCGGATCCTTTCTGATCACATTCTGTTTGTCGTTTGTATGCATCCGTGGATAAAGGACATTCAAGTTTGTTCAAATGAAGGGCCATGTCTTCTTTTAAAAAAAGTAGTTAAGAATTATTAAAGATTTAGTTCTTTTAAAAAATCTTCTCAAAAAACTTTTTTTGTGAGAAAAGTTGTAACTTATGTGAAAGCTTCATTTTAAGATGTAGATTTAGTTTTATTCAGATTATGTCCCTCGGGGGAAGGATGGGGCTACAACAGGTGTTCGAAGTTTTTCATAGAATATATAGCTAATTTCTAACAATATATTCGTCTCAAGAGCTACTGGGTAAGAGATGATACTTATGTGAAAGCTTCATTACATATAGTGTAAGTTCAGTTCTGTAGGTAATGTCACGAAAAAAAATCCCTCACTGCTCAAGGCCCTGAGTCCCACCGCATAAAGGTCTAAATTTGCAGCTCTCCACCGGCAAGTGGTGGTGTCTCCATACGTGTATGAGTGAAAAATCTTGAGAGGGACGCTAAAGTAACACAAAACAAAAAGAATATCAATTTTGCTCCAATCAGGACCCCAAGGGGAAGGATTCGGCCACAATGGATAATCAAAGTTTTACATAGGAATATATACATAAAAAATCTTTAAAAATTTTCTCCCGAACCAAAGGCGGATCTTGCACCGGCGCACCCCTCCACCCCAAACACGCCCCACTCCCCATTTTTTTTTCTTCCTTTTTTTTTTTTTTTTTTTTTTGTTTTTGTAATTTCTGTTTGTTTTACTTGTATATATTTTCAATTCTTCTTAAATTTTTTGCTTGTCAAAAATATTTTGAATATTTTGAACCGGCGCATTACCCCTCCCATTTCTGAAATTTCTGGATCCACCACTGAGAACAGCAGTACCCCGTGATTAGTGATGCTTATATGGAATCTTCAAATCTTGTGCGGCCACAATATAGAAATATATAGGACAATTCTTTAAAATTTTTCTTCTTCTCAAAACAGCAAAGCGATGATTAGTCATTTTTATATATTTACATATGCATTTTTTTCTTTTATGTTACACTATTTAGGCAAAGTATATCTATATCTGTGTAAACATAGGTTTTCATGTCATAAATGTTTCTTAAATTGTACGATTGCCTTACATAGTTATGTGACATATACTAATGGACGACACTATGCGAAATGAGGGTAGGTACACATTGTTTCCGAAGACAATATGAAGAAGGCGACAAAATGTACCATCACAATTACATTGCATGAAATAGCATTCGAGACACTTCAATGTGATTTACACACAATTGCATGCACAAAACAACCAAAAAACAACAAAAAATAAATCTTTAAGCAAAAATATCTACACTTCTACATGTACAATATGTACAGTGAGGGTAAGGTACATAATGTCGCCTGCGACAATGTGTACATGTGCAACTTTTCAGCCAGTGACAATATGAACCGATGGAACACAATATGTGCAGTGATGTTAGAAACATATTGTAGCCGGCGACAATATGTACAAAACGACAATATGTACAGTCACAGCCATCAAAAAGGGGCGTAGTCTAATTTATACGAAAAATATCAACAATGATATCACAAAGCACTTACAATTCTTATAGGAATACCACAAAATAAAATGACAATAAATATTAACAATGGTATCATACAACACTAACACTTCTTAAGAATACCACAAAATAATATGACGTGCAATTTTAATCTGTAGGTGACCATCGAACTACATCGAAACTTACATTTTCATGCTATTTTGTCGTTAATTAACTCAAACATTACATGGTAAAGGCATGTCACTGATAGCGAGGCACTTGTCGATGTGACATTATTCAGTAAAATATGACGCAGTTGTTATGGGTGGCGGATCAAGTAATATTTCCAAAAAGAAAACTGTATTTTATTATGTACAAAAATGTTTTTGATCATATTCAAAAGGCCATTAACTAAGACGCAATGTCTTTTTATGAATTTATTAATATATTAATATTTATTTCCGTAAATTCCCTAACAATCTGGTATTGCTGTATACATTTATATATACATATGATAACATAAGGATTCTAATAATCACAAGTAATGCTAATTCTAGTGCATAGGCATACACACACAGAATTTACATGTTTAAGTATTTAGCTGTTTGAAAAGTGCTGCAATCCTGGTTAAATCTTGAAAACAATTAAGAGCTTTTCGGTGTAACCACATAACCTTTGGCACATAGTCACATATTTTAATCAGATTTTGCCTATTATTACAAAGACATATCAAATAAAACTTGGTTACTATATGTCTTTGAAGTTTTCAGCTACTTTTAATCTTTATTGATCCTTAAGAAAGAGTAATGAAGAGTACTAAAACATTACACCTTGTTGCTACTTATGCTATCGAGAAAGTATTTAGATGAAGAAAAAGGTAAGCATGAGTACAGTTGAACCGAAAACTGCTTAATTTTACTAATGAAAAACTATAAAAATATTTGAACTTACGTAATAAGGTATTGGAAATGTTATTCTAATAATAAGCTTCACGGCTTCCATGGTAACACAGTTTAGCAAAACGAAATTTTCATTGAAACTATGTTTGACTGATACTACTTAAGGAAAACATAGAAAATCAAGATTGGCAAATTTACATAGATAGGACATTGACTTGCAGATGGCACAAGAGAAACTGGTATATTTCAACATTGTATATAAATCATGGAAACATGTTAGAGAGGTTTAAAGTGATAATTATTCTCCTTAAGAATTTTAGTTACTTTTACATAATTGAATATCATTAACTGTAAATTTGATGAAGAAGATAGCACTGTATCCTAGGTTACCAATGAAAATTTAGATTAATTACTAATTTGCAGAGTAAAAATGAAAACCACCACAGGACGAAAGACCATCTTTAAGCAATCGCTTAATGGTGGCTTAATGGTAGCTTAATGGTGGCTTATAGAAGTTAATTACTTTAAGCTACCATTACGCCACCATTAAGCTGCAGCTTCTAGGTGCTTAATGTCCAAACTTCATTAAGCTACCATTAAGCCACCTTTAAGCTGCAGCTTAATGGTGGCTTAATGTCCAAACTTAATTAAACCATGTTAACACATCCTTTATCAAGTCTTTAAACTAACTTGCTAAGTTTAAAGCTGTTTCAATAAATTATTTACGCAAAATCTTATTCTATTCATAATTTTGTCTCGCTATTTCTAACATCTTTGTCAATGCGTATAAATTCGGCACTGAAAACAGCTTCAGTAAGTGCCGCGGCCTTAAAATTTTCGCTATCAAGAATACGTTTGTTTAAATCTTGTTTTAAAATTATTTTTATCCATAAACACACAATAAATATTAGTTTTTAAAACAATCAAGCTGTATTTTTCTTTCGTGTCTGGAGAGCCACGTTCCGCTGCCGAATTCATAGGAACTATTGTAATATACAGTCATTTTCTTCTGAAAAAAAAATTATCTCTAAGTCTCTTAATTTTTCTTTGAGTAGAGAAATATTTAAGATATAAATATATAAATAAAGGTATAGTTTACATTGCCAATCATTGAATTCTATTATGAATAATTTGAATTAATCCGTGGTTAAATGCCATTATTTTCCCCCTTTTAAAATGATGCAGAAGTAAGAATTTATCAAAATATAGTCGATCTTCAATGATTGTTATTTCAAAATCGATTTTCAGAACAGTCGATCAGATTAAACATGACATCCGACCAGATTTATACACATATGGAAGCGGGGTAAAATATAAACAGTGTACAGTATATCGACTGGTTAGACAATAGACCTTAGTTAGGTTTCCCTATCAGTCCCCGGTCAGCTAACAGGAAACTATACACGACGTACAGTGATAGATTTTGATGATGAATTATTTTTACAAAGCTTGAAATTAAACGCAAGCATATAACAAATTAAACATTATGATTCTAGGCAAAAAGACAATTATTTTGATACCCATTGTGATATAAAAAGAGTTCAAACTGAAGTTGATATGTTAAAAAAATATTTTATAAGCCTAAGTGTTACGCAAAGATTGTCAATTATTTAGATACAAAAAACCGTAATTATCCACAGCATACATGTATTCAAAAGAACTATAATCTGTTTTTCCTTCGTTCTCTTTCGAGAATATATTCCTTTTTTATAACAAAATTGTGTTATATCTGTTGAATTTCAATCTTTTAATCATGCTAATAAAACTGCGAATAACAGAGCGAAGAAATCATAACATAAATCAAAAAGTTGTTTTACACCGAACTCCACGGTAGGACATATGAACGTAATATAAAAATTAACTTTAACATATATAAATATATTTATTTATATTATTGATTATAAAAATAAAATTAAAAACATTAAAATATACAACTTCACTCCATATAAATTTTGTTAACAATAAAGGTGTTATATTTCCAATGAATTTCAACAGCCCAGATAGTCTAGTGGTTAATGCGTTCGCCCCATAAACCAAAGGTCGCGAGATCGAATCCTTGCTGGACCGCTTTTTTTTATTTTATTTATTTATTTATTTTTTTACTTTTCTCTCTTTTACATTATTTTTGCCAAATTAATAAATGTGTAAACTCCACATTTATATTTTGTGAGAGTAAATCATTATAAACATAATATTTTACCTATAAAAGCAGTTTTATCGACTGCGTAATGGTGACTTAATGGTGGCTTAATGGTAGCTTAATGGAGTTTGGACATTAAGCACCTATAAGTTTGGCTTAATGGTGGCTTAATGGTGACTTAAAGATTGTCTAGAAGCTACCATTAAGCACCTATAAGTCACCATTAAGCTACCTTTAAGCTACCTTTAAGCACCCATTAAGGACTTTGAAATGACTTAATGGTAACTTAATGGTGGTGTATTTATTACTTAAAGATAGCTTAATGGTGCTTAATGGTGACTTAAAGACAACCATTAAGCCATCCTAAGCCAAGTTTAAAGGAAGTGTTTCATCTTGTGCACGTTCCAGTGGTTGAAAGTGACATTTTTTTCTTCCTCTAAATATTTAATAACATTTCAATCAAGAAATATATTGAATGACTTATTTTGAATAGTACCTATCTGATAAAACTAAAGTTGAATATCTCATATTGATAAAGTTTGTTGAAGAAAATAACACTCTTGCTATGGTTACCAAGAAGGGAAAAAATATTAGATTTTGTTAACTTTATAGCAATATGATAGCCTATGGAATAGCTTTTTGTATCCAGTAAAAGATTGTGTGGCAGTCAAAATTGAAAGTCAGGTTAGTTGTTTATCAATATCAATCAAAACGTCTTGGGAATCTATTTACAAGGTGGGTATCCACGGAAACGAATATTTTGCAACTTTTTTTGTATCAAAAGGATAGGATCAGATTAAATGATACACAGAGTAAAACTGAAATTCCTTTTCGGTATTAAAGTTATGGCCAATCAATAAAAAATACCATATTTCGTTTTGTTATATATTATAAGGATCTTTGTAATTTGGTTGTATTTCATCCTATAATTGCTTTTATATTTTAGTTTATAATTTCATTACAAATGAAAGAATAAAATTATTACTTTTGAAAACTTTCTTTCCATTGTACAAATGTAACATATGCAATAGTTGATTTCCCAGATATGTTTACATGTATCATGATTTCAAGATATCAGGCTTTCAAACTTTGAAAACAGCCATTGTCACTTGTTTTCATTTCTGAACTGTTAACTTTGGGACTCTGAACAGGTTGAAAAATGTTATTTTTCAAACTTTAGGGCATGTTGCTATGGTACCCATGACGCATAGCAACCAATTTTGCAGGATTTGAGTTTACCGTATGGAAGGCTTTCATCATAGAGAGTTTGGAGAAATTCTGAGACTTTGCGTGCCACAGCTCCTATATTAAAATCGTTATTTCAGAGAATAGGTCTTAATTTATAATTGCTTTGATATTGTAGTGTACGGTTATGAAAAAATGAGTAAAATTATGACTTTTGTATAGTTTGTTTTTATAGTAACGTTTGTAATGGTTGTGATCCGAGATATTTTTATCAAGCATTTATGACTTCACGCCATCAACATTTGGAAACAGTTATTGTAACTTCCCTGCTAACCATGGGACACTTAACATGTTCAAAAAATACCATTTTTCACATGTAGAGCATATTACCATGGAAACCATGACACATATCAGCCAAGTTATGCTTTATTTAAGTTTAGGGTTTCAAAACCTTTGTGAATGAAACTTTAGAAAAATTGTAGCATTGTGATTGCAGCAGCAAATCATTACAGAGAATGGCTCTCTAAATGTAGAAGAATCTTTATAAAATCGAAGACTTGGTATAAAAAATTAAGAGGTGAAATAAAAGGATTCTTAGTTCTTTTTAAGCAATATGAAGTCCCCTCCCGACAGATGTTCTAAAGATATATATGTTCAGAAAAGATCGATTAAATCAAAGTCATATTAACTCTTGAACCATTGGAGATTCTGAATTAATCCTCTTTTTTTTTTCTTTTTGACTTTGTTATGGCAAAACTTGATACATACCTTGCAGTTTCATTCATTACAGACGCAAAATTTCGTACAAAATCGTTAAGATTATTTTTCTGGAAGGCGTCGTCAAAAAGAATATGTGCTATATAAAGATTAAAAAAAATTAAAACATATCTGAATAACAAATATTGAAAAGGTGTAAAATTTGGTAAAGGCAAACTATTCCCTTTTTACTCTGATGAAATATTGGGGATAACGAACAGTATTCAAGCTCAAAGTTCATTAAAAGAATACAAATCGGGAGAAGAAAAAACATGGACCTCCAAAAACATCAGAGGTGGGATCAGGTGTTATGGGGGACTGATCATCTCCTACCGATCGGTCACACCCGCCGTGTGCTCATTGATATGATTTTAAGAATATAAAAATGTGCAAAAGACAATGATACATACTTAATTAATATCTAAAATAATTGTTTCTTGAATAAATCACTATAAATATATTCCTGTTTTAACAGAAAACCTTCAAATTCGTAAAAATCTTGGTCTCTATCATTTCTCTCAGACTGATCCTTGTCGACTCTGCAAATAATAAAAAAAATACATGAGCGTTACCAGATTTCAGAGTTTAAAGTGATGATATCTTTATAAAGGTTTAAATGTATAACACAATGACTGTAGTCTTAAATCTAAATTCCTATTTTGGGGGGATGTTTTTAGTAGCTCCCCACTCGCCACAGTACATACATCTCTATACAATTATAGTAACTACTGTCGAGTTTTTTCCTTTATATTTTTTGAGGACTCTTGTTTATCAGATGAATGAATCTAAGTTTCTTTCTATAAGAAGGCACGAGGCAAGGTACTTAAACATTATTCCATCCGATTTGTTAAGTCTCTAACGTTATATGACATTGTGTAGAAAGTTGCTTTCATAATAAATTTTAGGGAAAAAAATGTCAAAGACGCAATACTAAATATGGGATACTTCTTTGATGTATTTTTTCCCAAAACAATAACATTTGGTTACCTTTGTTACTTACCTATACAAAGATTTTAGTAACTGCTTCATTTCGTGTACAGTTTCGTGCCATAAAGTTGCACATGCAAAGACACGAGGATGTATATTTTCTTTCCGTCCACTAAAATTCGAGAAAAATTAGAAGAAAATATAATGATCTTCTGGATGTTTTTATTGAAAAAAAACTAGCTTAAAGATGTTCTAGCATAGGAAAGCACTGTAACATACCTTTGATTAACCACTATTTGAGCTCTAGCACTCAAAAAGCAGAGTGCTTGATATTTTTTTTTATTTCAATTCAAAATTTGATTTCCTGTTTTGGCTCAATCCACCCCATCCCCTCTTTTGAGCCTCTTTACACACATTGAAATGCACTTCAACCAACACTACTTGATGATTTATTATTCTTTAGGGGGAAATTATTATTTTTTTTTTTAATCCATATCATTTTATGTAACTTTTGAAACCGTTTTGGTGGCCCCATCCTTCCATCACGGAGGGATTATTCATATTATCTGGGATTTTCACAACCTGAAGATGTCTGTATATTAATAAACACATGCTTCTAATGAGTGTCTTGCTGATCTTGAGAATATATCTTTTTTATGAATCCCGATACATTCCTCTATGTAACGATGATCTCATTACCCTCATCTCCCGTAAGACTTTGATTTGAGAACAGTTGAATCTATACAATCTGGCGATGCTTAAATATGAATACCATGGACCTTTTTTGGGTAGTAATAAAGGGTATTCCTTCTCAATTCCATGTAAGTCTTTTAACCCTTATTGTGATCTTTCCCTGCTCTATCCCTAGGGATCATACATGTATTTTGAAAAAAAAGCAGATTTCACAGTATCTTAGAGTCGTTCACGAAATTTACATCATTTCTAATACAATTAGGTCTTTTTATTTATAAAAAATAATTTCTTAGAACCACCCCTTGAATACAATAATTATACCTTCTTATACATAATTAAATAGGATTCTATTTCATTCTTTTCATATACACACGAAACGTAATGTACGTACATGTCTATCAAATAAAGATTTCATTTTGATTCATTTACTTTTGTATTTGAAAAGATTGTCCTGATCAAAGATTTCTACGTGAACAGAAAGTATTTTGCCCTTTCTTGAATATCTTTCCTTGGAAGGGTGCATTGTCTTTCGGTTCATCAAATGTAAATTCTAAAATACGGGAGTGCTATGTGGCAGGTTTAATTATATAAGTTGAATATTACAGACGAGGGTATGCCGAACAATAGATTGATAGAAAAGCGTACTAGTCAAATAGCTGTGATAAACTTAAGATTATTAAATGATAACCATACCCATCTTCCTTTAAATTATTCTCTTCTTGACCATTGCTTAACCTGCTTTTGCTATTATTGTCTTTCTCCTTCTTTGGTTTTGTCTTTTCCGTATTTGATATGTCTTTTAATATTCGCCTTCTATTCATTACCAAATGTTGCTCCATTAGAATTCCACAATATAGGGGATTGACAAACAGGCTGACAAAACACAAATTCATATTCATAACAAAATTCTATCAATAATAATGGTTTATTTGCTATTAAGTTTCAATAAAATCTATAACCTATTTACTGTCAATCTCTTACCGTTTCATCTTAGCAAGTCGCTCTTGCGAGGGAAACCAAATGTGCTGTCCGACCCAGTACAGAGATATAAGTCAGATAGCAAAAACTGAAATTTGAAACCAATTCTTCGCAAACCCATGATTATGGTCACATGCAATATCTAAGTTACTCGAGGATATCACAGAAAGAAAGCTGTCACTGTCATCACAGTAATAAAGCATACTTGTGATGAAAATCGGAGTAGAAATCAGACAAGGAATGGAAAACGAAAATATTTGCATTTGTAGTTTACAGGCGGTATATGCGACGTAATAACCGACGAAACTGGATATGGTTAGAGCAATTATGTCCGAAAAAAGGTTTATGTTGTTATATTTGGCAACTGCTGACCAAAACTCAGAACTGAGGAGTCCCAAGCCCTCTCCAACCAGAAGGCGTGCGGATAAAACCGTCATTCCTATCTTTGTTATTGAAACAATAATACCAAAATACGGTCTGCTTTCTTGCAACTCGTATTTTACTTTTTTTATGCCTGGCTGAAAAATCTTACAAAAGTATCCTTTGTCGGGAGCAAAATTTTCCCACCAAGATAATGAAGTGAATATGAAAACTGCAAAAACTTTGATATACATAAAAGTATTGTAGGAAATTCCTTTCAATATTCCCGGCATATCCCTCTTGTTCTCAGTTATGTTAATTTCAGCTATTTCAGGCAAAAAGTTTGTTTCTGGAAGCACCAGAATTGGAATTACAGAAGCCTGAATGATGACTGAAAGCACATCAAAAATAATAATTGTTACTTTTCTACATATTTGCATTTGTTTTCCCACCAGTCTCTGTTCTGTAAATGTAAATGGTTTCAAGACACTGGGAATAATAGCAATAGCACTTAGTACGCATATTCTTTGAACAGCTCCAAGATCAGGCATAAGTTGAAATACCAGTATGCATAGTCCAATGGAATGAAAGGCTTCAATTATGATACACTGCAATGATACAATTACGAGGTTCTGTTTAAAATTCTTGAAAATGGATATCTTCTTACAGATACATAGTTGTGTTTTTTAAGGAAGGCAAAATACTACAATACGACTTTCCCAGCAAATATATATAAATGTATATAATGACTACTAAAAAGAATTACAATATATTACAATTGTTTAAATCAGTTTACCATTAGAACACTTGCAAAACTTGGTCGATTCATATTTCCAAAAAAGACTTTCCAACAACTTGCAAAGAAGTTGAGAATATATGGAGTGCATATAGCAAACACTAAAAGAAGACTGTGTACACCGTAATCTGAAATCTGCAACAAAAATAATATATATATATATATGTTGTAAGAAACTATACATTGGTGTACATGTCATAAGTTAAATTAACTTTCAAAATAGGATATGCTGTATTAAAGCTAGAAGTACCACTTCATCCACAGTTCCAGTAGAATTGTTGGTAATTTCTGTGTAATTTCTCAGTTTTGAAGTAGCAATTACAAGACTGATTTTTTGAATTACCATGGAAGACAGTAAAATTATGAACAAACAAAAATACACAAGAACTTTGATAATTCGAAAACTCGTATGGGAATGGACATCATTCTGTTTTTGTTCCCTGTCCAGTACTTTAAATCTATCCCAAGACCTGTAAGATAAGAGTTTCAATGTAATTATTTTCATTATGTGACTTATTTGCTATCTTTCTTAAATGTTTGAGCATATATATATATAGAGAGAGAGAGAGAGAGCTCCTATGAAAAAGAAGAGGACCAGGGGTTTAAGGTCACCTGAGTATATTACAACACTGTAAAGGATCCAAAGAAGTATGACAAAATTTGCTGAGAGATGAACCTATGTTGCCAAAGAATTTCGAAAGTTTGGTAAAAATGTCATGGCATTTTGTAATGTGCGAGAACCAAACGATATCCTTTGGATCAAACTTGGTTTGCCCAGGTCCTACAAGGATGATAATGAAGACAGAATACAATGGACACTCGATTAGTGTTTGTGGTATTCAATATACACAGATTTGATTTTGTCATTTGCGTAATGCTACAATTAGAGATTGTTCTATCTTACGTATCCGTATAAGTATACGTATCCGTATACGTATCGAGGTATGCGAGGCATCTCGATTCCGATGTCTAAACTATTTAATAAAATTTCCATCGTTATTTGTTTGGTTTTAAAGCGGCCCCATTCATTGAAAAGTAGCGTATGGTATTTTTTCTAATGAAAAAAAATGTATTAAGCTGCTGTAAGCCCCTATCATTTCGTGGAATTTTTTTTTTTTTTTTTTTAATATAAAAATAGAAATGAAATTAAGTAAATTTGTATTTATGTTAAATATATTGCTTAAAAATTCCATTGCAACTTTGTTTCAAATCATTTATCGCCCCCCCCCCTCTTCTTATATCTCCCATTCTATAATTTACATATACCATTGCATGACATAATCCCCCCCCCCCCTGAAATACAGAAGACGTTAATATCAACACGATCAATAAAACCGAGTAGCCGTTTTTTTTTTTAGAAAGATCCTTCAAATTAATTACATTATTCGCTTCTAGACCCTTACCAGTATATGCTTAAAAATGCCAGTGTAATACCCCCTCCCCGGCACACATGCAAATTTTGATAACGTCAGTTGACTTTCATTCATTTTTTTTTTCAATGAACCACTTGACAAATGTGTGTCTCCCCCCTCTCCAGTTGCTGTAGAGTAATTTATAAGACATAGATGTATCATTATTTACATGTACATTATCTAAACTTACATATGTTGCTTCAATACTTAGTCTTCCTGATATTGCTTACATGAAAAAAATACAACGTCTAATTTATAACTTTATTTGGGATAAAAATGAACGAATTAAACGAAACACGCTAATCGGTAGAATTTCAAAAGGTGGCCTCTCAATTGTTGATATTGAATGTAAATTAAAAGCTTTAAAAGCGGCTTGGGTACCTAGGTTGTTAAGAAAAAAGGTATTTTGTACAACATTTTTGATGGCTATTGTAAAAAATTAAATTTTGATGCTCCTTATGCGTTAAGTTTCTCCGATAGAAAGAAAGAAAATATAGAGAAACTAGAGAAACTACCTATTTTCTATCAACAAATGTTATGTTGCTTCAATGATTGTAAGCCTTGTTCTTTGAACAAAATGTCTTCCGATAATATTCTTCAACAGCCGATATGGAACAATTGTAACTTTGTTTATAGAGGAAATATATTATTTTTTAAATTGGATAGTCAGTGGGATTTTGCATGTTAAAGATTTGTTTGACGATGATGGTAATTTCAAATCATTGTTAGATTTTTCGAAGTGTATAAAAAACAAGTCAAACTGGTTGTGTGAATATAAAATTCTTACTTCTGTTTTCAAACCTTTACTACGAAAGTATGATTTTGCAAATTGTAAGTTTGTGAACATACGCTACAGAAATTATTTTCTCTTCTACACAGGATATGTTAATGTCTTAGATCAAAGATGCAGATTTTTCTATGAAAATTTTGTACACAAAAAATTTTGTAAACCGTGCTATCAAACAGTTTTAAACAAAGAGTTCAGTGTTGAACCTGTAGAATGGAAAAATATATATCAATGTAAATTATACGACATACCCGATAGATAACTTACAGAATTCAACTATAAACTTTTAAACAATATTCTCTGTAATAATTTCTATCTCAGTAAATGGAAAAAAGAAACGAACAGCCATTGCAAATTATGCCATGTGAACGAAACTTCAAAACATCTCATTTTTGAATGTAAAAATGTTATTGAAGTATGGAACAGATTAAGTTCTTACCTGAAAATAGATATCAAATGGAAACATGTAATGATTGGATTTAGTTCTGAGCGTAATAGAAAAATTGTATCACTCAATACACTCATCTCTTATGTTGCCTATAGAATTTACAAATATAAGATGTACTGTCGGCTACATTCCTCGGATGAAACTAGCTACAACATTTTTAATCATGTTAAATCTTCAATAATTTTCTATGCTTCCATTCTGAAAAATTTGAACTTTCTTGTAGACTACAGGCTTTTTAAAGATTTTGCCTAAAATATTTTTGAATACATGTTTCAATTGCTTTACATTGTATTAAGTCAATATTGTCATATTATCTTAAGTTCGTAATGTAACTTGTTCTAAGTATGTTATATATTTATTTCTTTGTTTGTTTTTATTAAGAAATAAAAATAAAATATGGAAAAAAAAATTATCTACATGTCCATGCAACTTTTTTTCTCCGTTTATCTTCCTTTATCGACAAGTGTTAAATCACTCGGACCCGACAAAAACTGCGGAACTTTCGGAAACTGTAGTCCATTCTCAAGTCCTCTGATACCCCGGGTACGGCTGTCGACTAACAATTCAGAGAGAATTTCAGGTCTTCAAACCGCCCCGGAATCCCAAGCTATCCAAAGCTTCCCTGGAGAATTATGAGCATCAAACACTCGATATTAAATGATGTAGACGATGATAAAATTTTCAGTGAACCCCCCTCCCCCCTCTGTGGAAAAGAGAAACACTGAACTTAATAACCCCCTCCCCCCAATAAGGTTTTTAGAATTTGTTCAATTTCTGCAAAGTTTTGTTGTCAAAGTTTTGTTTAGGTTACTTGTCATTTTTTGCTTTTTTCCTGCCTCGCCCACCCACCCCATGCCCTTTCCACTTTATAAAACCATTTTAAGTCTCTGCCTGATGGATACAAACTTATCTACTTATCTTACAATACTCATCTAAAATGTTTGATCTCTGACACTTCAACAAACTAAACTACAACAAAGTGTAATTTACGTGTACAGTTAAACTTTATCAACTCAAATCCTCGGATATTTCGAAGATTTTTTTTTGTCCCATCAAGTATGAGATAATGAGGTTTGGCTGTTTTTATACTATGGGAGATATGTCTTGTACTGGTAAAGAATGAAACAATAAAATATCCTGAGATAGAGAGATAGAGAGAGAGAGTCTAAAAATATTTTTGAACATTTTTTTTTGAATATTTAAACAATTGAACGAAAATGCATACTTGTAATATTGTTTCTGATTTTATTTTATAGCGTTTTTTATTTTTATTTCCATAAAATGATAGGCCTGTACAGGAAATGTTTTTATTAGAATTATTACTATATCTTATTTCCCAATGAATAAGGTTAAAACCAAACACGAAACGATGAAAATGTTACCAAATTCTGGTTTAGACATCGGGATCGAGATGCCTCTCATACCTCGATACGTATACGGATACTTATACGGATACGTCAGATAGAACAATCTCTATTAGGTATAGAAAGAGAAATCTCTTATGCCTGTATATTTACTCGAGGTGACGCATTTTGGCTACATAAATAACTTAACTGCTTGGTTACACTTGATCGCAACACTTGCCTCTTTGCTTTAGAAACAACTTGGTAATACATATAATTGTTACCAGTACCTGTCACTTGGCTATACTACATGGCTATCTGCCAATGTCACAAACTACAACAAGTCCCCTAGTCACCTTGGCTCTCTATGATCCTTCTTCACTTTGTTATAATACATAACAACTTCGTGCAGTCTCTTACCAAAATGCATTACGAGCACCATATCTTTACCTGACAATAACTTTTCAATAATCAAGCAGGACTCCACAATGTACACACAATTGATACACTTGGCGATTTTGCTACATAAATACATTTAACCTTTATGCCAATAATTTATACCGATTTGCATGCAAGAGTCAGACTTTGAGCATGCGTTGCTCTTTAAAAATAATTATTTTGTTTCTAGATATAGGACACACTGTCCTGTACATGTATTTTCAATAAATCAAATAACCTGTTAATTGAATTTTATAAAGGATTTCATGATTAATGCAAAATAACAAAGAGGAGTAAACTTTTTGGCTTCATTTTTTTTTTCGCGGGTATGTTAAGGCTACACCCAGAAATATCCTACTTGCCTTTATTATATGACGTCATAGTAAGCTGTATGACGTGAACTTTAGAAATAATGATTTCTTAATATCTATATTTAAAGTTTAATTTCAGATCAAAGAAATGAATGGAATCATTCAAAACTTAATATAAACTAAATCTTGTCGTTTTTGGGTGGTATAAATAGCTAAGTATTTAGCAAGGGGGTTAAATACCAAACCCATGAAGTCATAACTATTGATCAAATATCTGCCGGGTGAAGTTAAACGTGACGAGAATTCATGGAATCAAATAGATGAAATGGAAGTTTTAAAGCATATACCGTGAATGTTATGTGTGATTCATAAGGAATTAAAGATTAAGAATCAGGTACGCTGATATATTCTTATCATGTTTTCTTATAATGAACACAGGCAGTGCTTTGAAATCCCGATCAGTCTTTCCTCTGTCGTTCTATAACAACAAAGATGCAAAAGTTCAACACTACGCCGCATACTTTGAAACAAATTTTATGTTTGTATCGAAAGCTTGTATTCTATAGTACTTGGAAAGTGCTGCTAGAATCGTGTGGTTAACATGAATTGATAACAATTCCTTGATCGTATGTATAAAATGTAAAAATTTTGGTAAGGTTTCATGTGAAACTTTGAAATATTTTTTTCTGTGTCGGGAGAGTAGGATTCTAGCAGCACTTTTCATGGCCCAGTGATGTTTTTACATAATTATTTTCACTAAAAGGAA